CACTCCTTGACCTTCTGGGTCGGCAATGCCAAGCAGGTAAGCGGGGTCCCAAAGCCCACGCCAGCGAGGGGCCTTCGAGGGGGCTCCCCTGCCTGGCTGCGATGAAGCCTCGGGGGGCTTGCCAAGTCGGCAGCTTTGCCATTGGAGGGCGGGAGGGCGGAGAAGTCGGGGGGGAAGAATTTTCCAAGCAACCTGCATTCGATTAAGGGTTTGTGCTTGGCTGGCGGTGATGGAAGCGTGCCCTGCCTGATGCAACCGGGGGCTGGCTGAAGGGTCGGGGCTTGAACCCCGGGCCAAACCAGGGCACGCACGTGCACATACTGCTGCTGTCGCTTCATGCCTCCACCCCACCCGGTCCCTACATCTTGTTGGGGTTTGCATCCTGCAAGCTGTGCTTCAGCACTGCTGTTCCCAGGACAAGAAAGAAAACTGAAGCTGTTCCAGTTCTGGCAGCGTGGATAATTCATCCCTGATGCCACGGCCCCCGTGGGGTTCATTAATTTATCATCTGAAGCCGTTCAGCCCAAACGTTTCCCAGATCAATGTGCTGTGCCTTTTCATAGGCTCATGACCCAGAAGACACGACATAAGAGGAAAGGGGAGCGAGAAGGAAAAGGAAAAAAGCAGCCTTGGCAGGGGGTTATTTTTCACAAAGTGGCTGAGCGGGCCTTGGAATCTGGAGTCTCCAAAACTGGACATCTCATCCGGGGAGTCTCCACATCTGGGATGGGAACTATAGCCCTCAAGTTGTTGAGCTCCAGGGCCTATCAGACCCAGCCAGCAAGGTCAAGGATCAGGGAGGATGGGAATTGAGGGGCAAATCCCCTTTGGAGGATCCCGGCTTCCTCCCCTTTGCTTAGCCCGTGTGCCTCCCCTTCCAGTTCTAAGGAGAGGCTGTGCTGGTAGGGAGCTGAAATCCAGCACCATCGGAGGTCCGAGTTGAGACGGGGAAGGCTTAGCCTGAGGAATTACTTGGTTTTAGCAGTGGGATTTGTGAGATCGCAAAGCAGACATCTTGAAGATTTGCCACATCATTGCTCGCATGAATCGGAGGAGTTCCGTTCCGAGGCCTTTGGAGATCCACAATGATCAGGGCAGGGGCAATTTGCTGGGAATTTTCCATGAGTGAGAGGCACCCGGTTCTTGAGTTCTGCTCCCCAAACGCAAACAACATTTAAGCCGGCGAAGGGATCAAAGGTGCAGTTGTCACGCCCCTCCCCACCCCCAAAAGTCCAGGACCCTAAAAGAGACTCAGCAGATCCACAGGAGCAAAGACCCTCCCCCCCCAACTTTAGAGGGGGTGCTTTGGAGCGTGCAAAAACATTGGTGAACAATTGAACCTAACTGCACTAGTGCCGTTGGAAAGAGAGAGCGCCGTTGAACCGTTGCCCGAAAGCAAAGGAAAGAAACAAGCCTTTGGATGGGAGGAAGGATTGTGGCAAAGCACTTTTTTTTGGAGGGGGGGAGGATATATATATATTAAATATATATTTTACTTATATTCACATAAGTAAAAGGTGACAGTATATAGAGTGAAATTAAAAAAGAAAGATACAAGAAGTAGAAAAGACAGTGGGGAGAGAAAAAAGAAGGAAAGGAAAGGAGGGAGGGAAGGAAGGGAAGGGAAAGATGTTTTCAATCTTCTTTACAGCGAACAAATTCATGCTCTCTCCTCCCATGGAGTGGGGGGAGAGTTAAGATGGCCCCAATCCAATCTCGCTTCTCTGTCTATCTCCCAAGGCTGCTTCATTTTACTGCAACAAAATGGGGTTTGAAGAATTGGCCTACCGAGGCTTGGAAACTGGAAGCCGAGAGGTGGTTTCACACGTCATCAAGCAGGATAAGGTAACCTGGCAGAAAATAGTATGGCTACTTGGGAAAAGAAAATACGGTTGGGTTGTATCTAAGCTGAGATAGATGAACTCTGGACAGGTTCAGTTTAGCTTCAGGCTCGCTTAGATGTCTTGAAGGCTGATGGTGACCAGCTCGTTCGCTCAATAATTTTCTACTTGGGTTGTGAACCAAAGACAGTAAGTTGACACTTGGACCACAAGTAGCCAAGGAAGGAGAATTCAGAGCCGAGTTCCTCGACCTTGGCCACTTGAAGATGAGTGGACTTCAACTCCCAGGGAGTTGAAGTCCATCCATCTTCAAGTGGCCAAGGTCGAAAAATGCTGATTCAGAGTCTGGAGGCTCTTTCCATCAGATTAATCTCTGCTTGCACTTTTCCTGCTCTTCCTGTCTTTCAAAACAGATCCCGCAGAAAGTATCCTCTGGATAAGCAGAACATCAACATGAATGAACATGAATTAATGGGTTAATTAATTAACAGTCTTCATTAACCTTGGTCATCATCTCTGAAACTAGATGAAAGGTTGCTCCTTTGCTTTTGAACTGATAGTGAGGAATTCTTGACCATCAGTTAACTGTGCCTAAGAGGGAATGCATTAATTATCTATTTATTATTTTTATTTCCAGATTATATTCGTTTTCTCCTCGGCTCTCAACCCTGGAAATGAAGGTAAATTTAGAACCAGTGGATCACCATTAATTGTGATGATGATGATGATGATGATGATGATGATGATGTCTTGTAAGATGTCCCTCTTTGATATCTTAGCAGGATTTAACAGGAGAGCTCCGAATAGCTTTCACATTAGCATGTAGGGTGCTTTATTGCTTCTTTTCTATGTGGCTATTCTTTAGTTAGTTATTATTTAGTTACTTCTAGGATGATCAAGTTGGCTGTTCCTGCTTGAAGCTGCTGTGTTAGAAGGGTGGGAAGACATTTTGCTCTGACTTGGGGGTCCCCTGAAGGGGGCTAATGGCTGCTGATGAACATCTCCGTGGGGGGAAAAAACGTCTATTTTTGCTCCCCTTTTCGGTCCACGTAGAAATGGGAAAGCACTTAATACAGCATGGAGATGGGGTCAAAGACATCGCCTTCGAAGTGGAGGACTGTGATTTCATCGTGGAGGTAAAACGGGGCCCAAAGGTCTTTCTGAGCATTCAGAAGTTTGCTTTCATGGAAGTCAGTAGGCTTCTCCAAGGAATGCCGGTCTCCAGAATCACCTTTATTTCTAAGAAGGGATCTGGGCGTTCTGCCAATGCCATAAGCATATTTGGCAGATTAAGCAGAAGGGCAGCTGCAGTGGGTCGGGGGTCCCACCTGCCCAGGAAACAGGAAAGCTAAACTGAAGCTGGTTGCAAGGATGTGATGGGGGCTGGGCGGACGGCAGTGGCAGTTTGCCCTTCAGTCTTTTGTGAATTTGCTTATTTATTTTATTTATAAATCAAATTCATGTCACTGCCCAACTCCCCCACAAGGAGGGACTCTGGGTGGTTCACAACCAGTCAGTTAAAACCAAAAAAACATAAATAGTACAGCATAAAATACAATTATTAAATATGATAAAATCCAAGCAATGGTGGTATTATTGTTCCTGGAGAAAATCTATCTAGGTGGCTGCTAGGAGTCAAAAATGACTTGATGGCACATCATTCATCCATCTTTGGTGAGTGCCACGCCTTGGCACCAGATCTTTTTTCAACGGGCGAGGCACTGAAGGCATTTTTGGGGCGTTCCTGTGACAGGAGCTCAAAAGGCCAAATTGTGCCCAGCAGTCTGAAAAGTTTGCTAATTTCCACCCCACCCTGCTGGCTTATCTATCTGACGTTACTTCATTCTCCCGTCCTCCGTTCAGAAAGCTCGAGAACGTGGGGCTCAGATAGTGAGAGAGCCCTGGATAGAAGAAGACAAGTACGGGAAAGTGAAATTTGCAGTCGTTCAGACGGTAAGGAATTCAGAGGGGGGTCCTCAACCAGAGAGAGGAGGAAGGAAGGGCGGTGTAGCTGGAAAAATGGTGGTTTGGGGGCTAAGAAGGTCTTCCCTAGCCTGGCCCGTTTGTCGTAAGTGGGCCTGCAGCTCCTAACGCTTCTAGCAAACTGGCTGGAAATTATGGGCATTGTAGTTGGATAGAGCTGGAAGAGGCCACATTGGGAAAAGCTAAGCAAGTATTTCTAAATCCAGGTTTTAAGATGAACAACAACTGAAGATGAAAAAAGAGTTTTTGATAAAATAAAAAGACAGGAGACCCTAGAGGTGTGTCAAAGGGGTGGTGGTGAGCAAAATCCTGGCCCTTCCTGAAGTCCTTTTTTCAGCTGGGTGGCTTGGATGGTTGCAGTTTCAACATCTGTCACCTCCACTTTGCACCCTGCTTTGTATGCAAGTGGGGAAGCAGCCCATCCTCTTCTCCAAAGATGTTGTAAGGAAGATGCCCTCTGCTTGGAGATGGTCTGGCTTCACAGTATGGTCCTTGGTCTGGCTTCACTGTGGGGTCTCCACCAACACTGGGAAATCCGTTGGCCGCTGGGCTTCAAATTCCCATCGAACCCAGATGGAGCAAAAAGTGAGCTAAATGCCAAAAACATCTGGAAGGAAATGGTATTTCCTCCAGACCTCCCTGTAGATGCCAGAGACCTTCTGCCCCAACTGTAGATGATCTACCAGCTTGTTAGGAAGGTCCTCCCTCTCCTGGTCCAAATGTTGGTGCAATCTCATCACCTTGTGTTTCCCCTTCCCCATCAATATAGTATGGAGACACCACTCACACACTCATAGAAAAGCAGAATTACAAAGGACTCTACTTGCCTGGATTTGAAGCCCCTCTCTTTAAGGATCCACTCTTAAAAAAACTGTAAGTAGCCAAGCCTTGCCTAGACTTTGCCCTCACTTTCCCTGGGTCAAGAGTGCAGGCCTCCTTACTCCAGGGGGAGAGTTCAGCCAGTTGTGGGAAGTCTCAATATTTGCAGAAGTGCAAAAATGCATTGTGTGCAAGCAGTCCCAGACATGTGCAGAGGAGGAGAAAACAGTAGAGAAGAAGGGATGGGAAACCCTTCCAGTGAAGATGAACTGTGACTCATTTGAAGGTTGAAGATGGGGAACCTAGAGAGAGGGGAAGAAGACTGAACTATGAACATGATGTAGCAACCTTCCTTTCTTTTCCAGATGTCCTGGAAAACTTAATTTTATTGATCACATTGTGGGGAATCAGCCTGACCAGGAAATGCTGCCGGTGGTAGAATGGTGAGATTTGTCTCTGAAATCTTCCTTAAAATGAATAGAAGCAGCTTTTAAAGTTGGTGACACCCAAGTAGGAAATTAAGCTGGGGTTAGTTCCAGGTTCCTTTAGCCAGTGTGCCCCTTGGGGGATGATAGGATGCGGAGTCCCAACACACCAGGGTGCGGAAAGCTAATTTAGAGGAACTGAATGTTGACACTGTAGGGTGGTTGGGTAATCCTTCATTACCAAGCCATGCGACATCATCATAGAGATGCTTAGGATTTCTTAGGGATCTCTTTGAATATGCTGAGGCCTGCTGTGTGATCTTCCGGACCATGTCCTCCTTTGATCCAAAGTTTGTTCACTACTTTAAATGGATTTCACTCTTCTGATTTTAAATTCTGGGCCTCCTCAGGAAAATATCAGAGCCCTGTTTGGATACCCGGGTGTCAGCTACCCGCTCTTCGCACGCTCCTGGGCAAAGAGCATTATTGATTAAAGTTAATGAATAAGAGCATTTCAACAAGAGAGGAGCGGCCTAGGACAAACTGTAAACATGGCCCTAAATCTGACATCTTCCTCCTCCTAAAGCAGTGTTGTCCAAACTTGGCCACTTTAAGATGAGTGGAATTCTGGGAGTTGAAGTCCAC